GAAGGGTGTATGGTGGTAGGGCCGAAATGTTATTTATATCGGTTTCTTTTTCAAAAAAATAATAATAAACCAATATAAGTAATACATAATAAACAAAAAAATAAATAAATAATAATAATAAATAAATCATACATAAGTAAAGAAAATAAACAAGTAATATTTTATGTTTTAATTCAACGGGTCGTTTGAAATTTGTTTCTATTAAAATTCCAACTAGAGATTCTAATCTTGAACCCTTAATTGTCTTAATCTACAAGTAATATTATTGTTACTTCATACCGAAGGGTTACTACTTCTCTAAAAAAGACTGGAATACCATAAGCTTATGTTTACTCTTGAGATCCGGTTTCGGTTACATGTATAATTTGTTTGAATACTATTTCTCAAGTTTATTTGGTTAAATTCCATTGAAAACAGGCAATCCTGATAACATAGTAGAAGGAGAATGGGTTTTTTTCTCTTAAATACAAGCGATAATCTAACTACATACTCTAATTAATGGAGATGTCATATTGCAAAGCAGCACACTCTGTATGATGAATGGGGGGAAATAGGATTTGAAAATTCATTTGTTTATCAAGAAGGTCTTAAACCTACTCGAACCATTATAAACTTTTGGCGAATGGTCGAGTTCATCCTTAGGACCGTTCTAGACAGTGGGCAATGTAACGACCCAAAAATTTGAGTATTTGACTATACTCTATTCGACTTATTTGGCGTGTAGAGACAGTTTTGTTGTAGATAATAAAGTAGATTGTTATTTTGAAAAATGGCAGCATACTTTGAGTTTAAATGACATGTAGGGAGACACAACATCTTGTATGATTGACGTGGCGCGTCAACTTGTCCAGGTGGTGGACACATCTAGAAGGTATGGGATACATGGCAAACCAGGGGACATGTGGCAATTTTCAGAATTGTGATAAGGCAAAGTTGCAGTGTGTCTTTTTGATATGCGTTTTATGTTAATAGTACATGTAGCTAAATATGATGTCACATGTCTAAAAAAAGATGACCGACAATGTCTAGGTAATACATGTGGATGTGACACGTAGGCCCAATATATATATATATATATATATATATATATATATATATATATAGTGTAAAGTAGTTCTAGAAAGTTTTTATGGTGAAAGGAGAAAAGAGGGTATTCTAACAACAACTACCGAGATGGTATTTCTCGTAGACAATACTTGGCAAAGAATACATGGATGTAACAGGTCCATGACTAGACACAATGAAATGTATGGGACATTGATAGGAGGGGTTACTCCTTAGAAAGGAAATTTTTCTTAAAGGGTTTACTTTCTGATAAGGAAATATATACAACTTTTATGGTAGGGGTTACTCCTTAGCAATGAACTTTATTATAAAGGTTTTACTTTATGATAAGGAAATGTTTGCGACTTTGCATGGAGTGGTTACCCTTATCAAGGAACTATATTGGAAAGGGTTTACTTTCAGATAAGGTGGTGAACTATATTGGAAAGGGTTTACTTTCAGATAAGGTGGTTGATGGCAAGGGTTACATTCTTGAAATTGAAAGTTTTATTTATGTGGCTTTGTTAGAAAATGATTAATATGTAACAAGGATATTGGTTGGACATGGGGTACTTTCTAACAAAACGGTTGAATCGGGAATGGTTACTTGTTGGTGAATGGTTATGTGTAAAAAGTCATATATATTTGATGCTATCGTGGCATAGAATCCTCGTGTATGTAGTTCATCTTAAAAGCTTATGCTTTGGGGAATAGATTCCTTGTGTTTTGTCCTTTATGACTTGTTGAGTTTATAAAGATTGAAAGTGTTTTTATGATAATGAAATCTTGAAAGTTGAAAAGAGCAAAAATGGTTTATGTAAGACTTAGCAGACTCTTCACATTATATTGTTGTAACACCAAAATAGTTTGTGACTTTGATAAATTTATGAATGTTTTTGGTAAAACCATGTTTGATCGTGATTACATGTCATGATATTTGTACAACCATATTGATTTTTTGTTTGTTGAAAAGTAAGGGTGTTAGAGGAAAATGAGAGACCGTCCATGGCCTATTCTTTTAAAGGGCCCTCAATGTGTCGGTCTTATGTAGTAGTTTCTAAATAGAAAACATTTTCATCTCCCAAACTAAAAATTTTCCTGGTACATGTTCAACTACATTGTGAATTAATAAGGAAACCATTGGAAGTCTAAAATAAAAAAGAAGGTAGGAACAGTACCGAAATAAGGTAATAAAAAGATATTGGAAATTGAATTGTCGGATAATGTAGAGAAAATAGTCTCAAAGATCTCCAACAACCCTCCAAATAACAATAATAGAGAAAATAAATAGACACAAGAATATATATATATATATATATATATATATATATATATATATATATATATATATATATATATATATATATATATATATATATATGAAGAACTCCAAAACTGAAGAAAAAACATGGGTGTCCAACAAGAACGATCCACTATATGATATTTGTTACAATCACATAGACTAATATCTCAAACCTCCCCCAAATTACACTTACTCTCAAAAAAATTTACTAACATTTTTCTACACTTGAAGTGTATTGATTGGGATGCTTTGAAATCAAGTGTTGGACTACTTTTATATACTTGGAGTCTTCCCAAACTTTCATCCTTTTGCCAATGTGGGATAGGAACAACTAGTCATTTAGCAAAAAAAAAAAAAAAAAAAAAAAAACTCAACACCTATGACCCTATAGAAGCTTGTAATGCTCCAATACTATTTTTTAACAAATATAAATCAATGTTTTTATTCTGAAAGGCTTCCCTCAAAATTCTATTAAATTTTTTATATCTCCATTTATAATTAATAGATTATCTAGGGTTTATTTTTTTGGATATAATCATTTTGATTGTGAAATTTATAAGTGCATTTTATTTTACTTTTTTCATCTCTTTGTGTTCACATATGTCATTGTTATGATAGTTGTTTCATTTCATACCAATTTTTTATAGTCACTTTTTAAGCATATAGGAAAGCCTGTTTTTGTAACATGTAAGAATTTATGTATTAAGATGCATCATTTAGTATTCATATATGTTATCACACAATGCCATGAGTTGGAAATGATAAAAAAAAATATGCATTAAGATGCATCCTTTTTGTTTATGGTAGGTAATATGATTAGTATGTTTGTAGCATATAGGTTGACAAGAAGCAATTGAATGCATTCTTTGTAACACATGTTATTACGAAAGAAAAAAAATCTAAAATAATATAGAAACAATTTTTTGTTTGGAATATGGTTAACACTTTTATCAAATAAATACTCTGAGGGAAAACAAAATGGATATTTAATACAAAACTAGGAGGTGATCCCATGCTTTGCATGGGATGAGTATGGGATGTAGGTGGTTCTTATATAGAAATTGATTTACACCTAAAAATATTGAGATTACTGTAAGGATTCAAAATTCGGAAAAGTGTTGGAATTAAAAAAACGTAGGGTTTTATTATTCTTTTATTTTAATTAATATGTCTTTACTATGCTTTACTAAATACAATTTTAGACACAATCTTTCGGTAAATATTTTTCCAAACTACGATACAAATGCATTAACAAACCCAAAACAACCCACCCATTTTAACACCTTTGGTGATTAACAAAACTAAATAAACAAATAAGGAAAAAGAGTATGAATCGAAATACAAAAGGATTCTAGTAATAACTTTTGCAAATTAAATACAATCAAATCGACATTGTCCAATGAAAGAGTCCTTACTTCTTCACATTGTCCAAAAAAACTTTAAAAAACATAAACAAACTTTACATTGATAATCAATGATGATACATGTGACTACGTTTTCCCTTTCCCTTTCTCTAGCTCTGTAGAAAGCCCGAACCTAAGTTATATGAATATAATGTTGAGGTCATTGAATAAAAGTAAAAAAAAATTAAAATTAAAATGAAACTCACCTTGGCATTAAATCGAGCACCTGGTGGGCATCAAACCTATAAAACATTAATAGAAATATAAGGTCATTCACATTACATGATGGTTATATTCTTCTAACAATCAGTTACTTACTATATTGCAACAAAACCAACTTCAATTGTAAATAATTTCAATTTATAGAATGGTGAAGAATTGAATCAATCAATAAGCAAATGAAGAAGTGCTGCTTGTTCCATTCAATACAACTCTACAAAACTCACCTTTATTTGATTTGTTTCACCCTCTCATATAAGATCAATAAGAACTCACTGAATACAAAGATTAAAACAAAGAAAAACAGTGTAATAATACTACAGTGTACTATTTCCTATAAGAGCAAAAAGTGAGTTTAGAACCAATCAAGATATACAGACAACTTTCACCGATATACAATAAAAGCAAAAAGCTTTAGATCATCACATATCAAAGCTTTTTCAGTAAGCTCATTCATGCAACCAATATGTACACTACAGTAAAGCTAATCTGATTCATTATCAACAAATGTCCTAATTTTTTGAAGAAAAAATGTTCAATTTGGCCTACAAACAATTAGCCCATAACTTTATGCAAAAATCCATCTAAAACTCATAACTTGAAAGAGCCATTATAATACTAAATGTTATCAGATTGCATTACCTGGACCAAAAGAATAAGGAAAATAACATCAACATCTGAAAACTGAATCTTATCCCGAAAACAACAGTGGTTCATATAAAAGGTGCTTATCTGTACAAATAACAACAGAAAATTAGGAAAATTAAGATTCAGAAATTTCAATCTTTATGAAATAAAAAAATATCCGGTCAATATACTGACATGGATATCATTCGCATTCTGAAACTGGTGACAAGCGTTGTCTTTAGATTCGAGAATGACAGAGATGAATGAAGCAAACGACAAAACTTTGAAAAAATAATTACTTTCATTCAACAGTAGTGGAAGTAACTCCTAATTGAAAAAGGAATTGACCTAAGCATAGTGGTTCATGGTGAGAATTACCTAAAAAAATAAATTATTGATTGAGCATGTACAGTCAACTCTCCTTACAAATCTATCAGAGTTTAGGAGAAGTGGAAACCAACGTTTCTCAGAGAAAGGGGGAGCGGTGAGAGGTATCAATTGATAGAGCCATGGTTTTTCCGGGTCTTCTTCTCCATCGGTGGCAATGTCGGTATTTTGCCCCAAATAAGTTCATAGGTTGTGGTAGCAGTGGGAGGGAACAGGAAAGGAACTCACCGCAAGACTTTGCATTTCATCATCTTTGACAACGAAAAACGGAATGCAAAAGTTGAAAAAAAGCGTAGAGCCCTAATCGTATACAGAAACATATGGAGAGCGAACACGACGTCAAATCGAGAATTTGTTCATCAAGTGAAGTTTGTCTTCCTCCGTATCGTCCTCTGTTATGCTATGAACAGAGAAATCAACAGATGGAAAATAGAAAATGGTGTGAGAAACGATGAGGATGATGATGGTGGTGGTCTTTCAAGTCTTTCAAGAAGACACGACGAACAATAGTTGAAAAGATATTAAACGGTGACGAAGGCAAACGATTGACGGTGAATAACATCCGCCTTCTTCTGATCGGAAGACCCAACGGTGGACAATAGATGCCGAGCAGCAGAGGACAACATATGGCGAAAGGTTATCACCCGTGTTTTACACTACACGGGAATAATAATTAAATTAGACAAAACTTCAAACATGTCCCTGTAGTTTTCAAAAATATCAAGTTTAATTTCTAAGTTCAAAAAACCTTAAAGATGGTCCCTGTGGTTTCAAAACTTTTAAAATTTGGTCCTTCCGGCTCATTCTGTTAGCATTTCACCGTTAACTCATTTTTTAATAAAATATTGCAGGGGTAATTTCGTCATTTCAGTTGTAACCTTCTTTCTTTAATATTAAATGATTACCTATTGCTTGCACGTCACCACCCGTCCCTCTCCCAAGAAGATAACCAGTTACATCTATATTCATCGGGTTCATTCCCATCGTAGAAGCAAGAACAGAAATTGGGATTTAGGGTTTTAAGCTGCAGGAATTGCAATGGTGTTATCAATATGGTGTTTTTGAGAAAAATTTGTAACCATGGAGGACCTAGGAAAAAGATACGGTACAATACTACAACAAAACTTGTTTTTTCTTGGTCGATTGTGTTCACGTAGAGAAATCATTGATTTTACTTATTCTTTTTTTTGTGTTTGCAGAAGGATGTGACAACTATTTCACGTTGAAGATATACTACAGTGGTGTCTTCACCAAAGCACCTGGAAGGAAATACGTTGATGGTGTTGTAGCAAATGTAGATGATGTTGACACTGATTTATTTTCAGTTCATAAGCTTGACGACATGGTTCGAGAACTAGGGTACAAAACTGAGCAAACCCTTTACTACCATTTTTGTATCCCTGAATACCCTTTGGACTATGGCTTAATGCCTTTAGGTAATGACCAAGATGTACTTAAAATGGTATCATATGTCCCTAAACACAGACTTATTAGGATGTATATTGAAACTGGTCAGACAAGGGTAGCTAGTTATTACAAGTCTCCTTCTAAAGTTGTTATTGAAGAGTTGGAGCCTGATAGTGTGTCACCTGAAATGAATAGAAAGAAACCTTGTAGGAGAGAAGCAGGATCATGTAGTAGAAAGCTTGATCTAAACAAGTCTATGAACCCTGATTATGAGCAGTCACAAGTATTAGATGTTGATGAAGGGCATGATTACTCAAAGATTATTCTGCCATTTATAAGGTCACAAGCTAGCAAACAAAGTCATGAATCATGAAATTGAAACTCAAGAAGAAGTGATCACTAGTGCAGTTGAAACTGAAGAACCATCGGGAACTTACCATGTACAGGAACCAAGCTGCCAAGCTGATGATGGAGCTAATATTGCAACAGTTGATGACTATGAACCATTTATAGAGGATTACTCACTTTATGTTGATTATGATGCTGAGTTTAATGTTCAAACTTCATTTGAACAACAACCAGAAGTGGATTATCTAGAGGGTATGGTGAGTGATGATAGTGGAGAGGCTTTCTACTCTGAGAGTGGCCATGGTTCTGAGGATAGTGGAGATGATTCTGATGACAGTGAATTCAATGTGGATGAGTCTAACATACAATTTGATGTAGATGTAGACATGAGTGAATTCCATAATGCTGTTGATGTAGATGAACATGGAATCTTGAACAATCATTCAAAAGATGTAGGGAATGACATGGTTGATGATGAGTTGGAAGTTATTTCCACTGATGATTGTCAATTTGCGGGATTTCATGAAGATGATAGGAAGAGACTGCTAAAAGAGTTGAGTAAGTCAAGTACATGCTCACATGGAGAGGTTCATGTAAAACCATTTCAGATTGGCCAGGTCTTCAAAACCAAGCGTGATATTAAAAACTACATGAACTCACACGCTGTAGCAACAAGGAGGTCTTTATACATAGCCAAAAATGACAAAATCCGGATTAGGGTGAAATGTAAAGGTGTTGTAAGTAAGCCATCTAAAGTAGTTGATGGTGGTGGGCCCTCAACTAGAAGTAGGGCAAAGTGCAAGGGTAAAGATGTAATTGCCAATAAAGGTACATGTCCATGGGCAGTCCAAATATCGAGGGCTAATGAAAATCAGGATTGGTTGGTGAAAACAGTACAGGATGAGCATAAATGTTTGCAGATAAGGGCGATTAAAGCTTGCACTTCCAGATACGTAGCAAACTTAATTGTTCAACAAATTCAGAGTAACCCTAAAATTCCAGTGAAAGCTTTACACGAAGAGTTGTGCAAGAAACTAGAGGTAGGAATGTCATTGCAAAAGGTTGCTAGGGCAAAGTCAATGGTTGAACGTATCATTAGTGGGGACTACCAAGTACAGTATGGATTTTTGAGGGATTATGTGTTGGAGCTACTCAACACTAATCCTGATACAACAGTTCGGATTGATGTGTATCCAGAAACCTACCTGTCTATTACCACAAGAACTTTTAAAAGAATATATGTCTTTCTGGGTGCATTGAAGTTAGGATTCAAATCTAGGTTAAGAGATTTTCTAGGTCTGGATGGAACTTTCATGAAGGGCCCTTACCCTGGGCAAGTGTTAACTGCTGTAGGGTTGGACTCAAACAATGGCATATACCTTGTAGCATATGCAGTGGTAGAGACAGAATCAACAAGTAGTTGGACCTGGTTCTTGGAACTGCTAGGAGAAGATCTGGATCTGGGCCCAAATTCAAACTTTACATTCATTTCAGATAGACAAAAGGTGTGTATCACCTAACTTTTTTTTAGTACCATTTCTAAATAAATTTGGTTAACTAATGTTGCATACATTGACTTTTGTATAGGGAATAATACCAGCAATGGAGAAGGTATTCCCTAGTGTAGAACACAGGTTCTGTTTGAGGCATATCCAGGAAAACATGAAGAAACAGTGGAAAGGAAAAGACTTAAGTGACCAGCTTTGGGAGTGTGGTAGAGTAACAACAGTCAATCATTTTAACAGAGCAATAGATGAGTTGAAGAAGATCAATGAAGAGGCTCATGCTTGGGTGTGTAAGATCCCAGCAAACACTTGGGCTAAATCTCACTTTAGTGGTAAGTTTCTAGAAATTTATTGATAAATGTTAATCTTCCATGTTGTGTGTTTACTAAATGTGTAATTGTCTTCTCTTAATATCTATTATTCAGGAAGGGCACATAATGATTGTTTGTTGAATAACCTTTGTGAGGTATTCAATTCTAAGCTAGATGAAGGTAGGGATAAACCTATTATCACTTGCTTAGAGTATATTAGAGAGTATCTCATGAAGAGGTTATGTGTGGTGCAAAAGGAAATAGATAAGTGTGAAGGACTTCTAACCCCTACTGCAACTATAGTGTTTGAAAAGATTAAGACTGATGCAACTAAGTATGTGGCTAAATACAATGGGACAGGAAAGTACCAAGTGGCAAGCACATGGCAAGACCAGTATGTGGTAAACTTGAATGACCAAAGTTGCAGTTGTAGGTTTTGGGAGATTACAGGTTTCCTATGTAGACATGTTGTTTGTGCTATATGGGATAAAATTGAAAATGGTGAAAATGTCCAACATGTTGATGAATGGGTCCATCCTTGCTATAGGTTATCAACATGGAAAGCCATGTATTTCAACAAAATTGATCCATTGAATGGATGTTCAATGTGGCCTAAAAGTGACTGCCCATTCACTTTACTTCCACCAAAACATAAAACACAGGTTTGTATTTCAAGTAGACCAAATATATAGTATACATGTGAACATGGAATGAATTCAATTTTAACTATAGTATATCAATATGTGTAGGTTGGGAGGCCTAAGAAGAAGAGAAGGCGGGGTGTTGATGAGCCAAACAGCCAAGCTGGTAGATTGAGCAGGAAATATTTGGCAGTCACTTGTTCAAAGTGTCATAACAAAGGGCACAATTCCAGAACATGTAAAGGGCAAGGAGGCAGTGGTGAAGTTGGAGGGGGCTGAAAACTATTTTTAGTAGTTATTAGGATGCTTGTGTTGTAGGTCTTTTGAAACTTAAGTCATGTGTACTTGTTTGAAGATGTGTTAAGAACTTGAAAACTTTGCATGTAATGCTTGTGTTGTAGGTCTTTTGAAAACTTTGCATGATGGTTGTGTTAAGAACTTTAAAACTTTGCATGTAATGGTGTGTATGCACTTTTTGGTAATGAATTAATATGTTTTGTGTACTACCCTTCACAGATCAATTAATAACATTGTACATTTCAATTGTAAATGAAAACCATCTTAAAGATGCATTTACAATACACTTAACAATTCCATTTCAAAAACATTCAAGAAATTGAACAATCAACTATAACAAACTACATTCCATTATCATTACCATTACCACTCCATTACACATTAATCTGATACATAAACCAAATACAACAACACCAATTCCAAAACCCCCTACATAAACTGAAAGCAAAAAAACCCCTATTCCATTAAAATAAAATAAAAACCCCTGCAATGGTTACAAACCAAAAACCAAGACTCCATTACCATCCAAACCTTCACACGATACTTAGAGATTAAAATAATACCATAAAAATCACCCATTAACAAAACAACATCAACTGGTAGTTCCACAATTCTGCATTTGCAATGGCAACCCTCTCTTCCAATCGGTTCATTGATCTTATCAAACCTGGAATCACCACCAATGCCCTAGCACACATAGGAGGATCAGACCATTGAAGGAACCCACATCTTGTACAGTTCCAAAATTGTCTTCCAAGGTTACGATCCGTCCATGAAGTGATCTTCATTGCTTCAGTCCCACATCTGCAAGTCACCATCTTTGAATCAGAAGCGATTGGATGTCGTGAAGGGTGCAACGGTCGAGCAACAGTGGAAGGGAGAAGAGATGACGACTGATAAAGGTAAAGGGTTTGCCCAAAAATCGGACATGCAATTTCTTTTAAAGAAAGAAGGTTACAACTGAAATGACGAAATTACCCCTGCAATATTTTATTAAAAAA